TGTAAAGTAGCCTGCTCTACTGCATGGAAGTTTAAACTTTTCATAAAAACAAGGCATACTGCCATCTGGTGGCGAACTAAATATTACAAAAACGGTTGACCTTTAACGCTACATTGTACAGCAGCAATTTGTGTTCCAGTCTCTTGTGATTACAGTATGTATCTTGACATTATTCAGCATTCAGAAAAACCGTCTGATTTCAGCAGAGTATTCTATGCAGCGGGTGATACATACAGGAAATATCTGAGGGACTTCACCAAGAGCAAAACTGTTACAGCAAAGGCAGATTAGCCTATATGAAGGGGCAAGGCTTGACAGTTTATTTCAGTCAGAAGTGGTGAGAATTTATCTATCTTCTTATTCTGTTTGGTCCAAGTCTTGACATATCAAACTTTTTCTACTATGTGGGAGATGGACTTTTTAAGTCACACTTTTACAGCACTGTATTTTTGCAATTTTTACAGGATTTTATATATTTGTTTAAAATTGACTATTTTTTTGTTTGGCTTTTAAATATAAATAGCAAAGACATGCATTTTTTTTTTTTTTGCTTTACCATGCCATCACTGTAAATTTAGGTTGTTTACTTACCAACTGAGTCTGGTTCTCTCAAGGTTTTTTTCCTTCACTCCCATCAGGTGAAGTTTTTTTTCCCTCTCCGCTGTCGCCACTGGCTCGCATGGTTCAGGATTGGTAGAGCAACGCATCGATGGATTTGCTCTTCAGTATTTGAACTCTCAGTAATGATTAAATCACACTGAACTGAGCTAAACTAAACTGAACTAAACTGAACTTAAACAATAAAAACTGAATTACACTGTTCCAGTTACTATGACCATTTATGTGAAGCTGCTTTGACACAATCTACATTGTAAAAGCGCTATACAAATAAAGCTGAATTGAATTTAATTGAATTACAGTAATTTACAGGTAGCCGACATCAAGATTTATCCAAAACTTTGCAAAAGTGTAGCAAAAAGTATCCCCTCACAAAAAGAGGCAAATACAAATCCTACATCCTAGCTGCTATTCTATCGGTTAAGAAGAATAATAGGAGATAATTTGTGATACACTTGCTACAGTTGTAACCGGAAGTTTAAATACGCTCTAAAAAAAGGAACATAACTATTTAAAAAAAAATGATGGTAAATCATACTAAATGTTTACTATTTTAGGTCTGTTAGAATTACCTAAATGATTTACATTCGCTAAATGCCAGAATAATGCCAGAATTCTTTTTGAGAATTTTTTATTAGATTCTAGATTCAAATAAACACATTTCCTTGTTTGTTTGTTTTTTTAGCTTTGCTGTTAAACTCTGGTCAATTGTTTTGGGTATTCTTCTACAAGCTTCTCACAATACTTTGAAGGAATTTTGGCCCATTCCTCCTGACAATTAGTGTAAGTAATTGAGTCAGATTTGTTGGCTGTCTTGCTCGCACAAGCTTTTTCAACTCTGCCCAAAATTTTTCTATACGATTGACATCAGGGCTTTGTGATAGCCACTCCAAAACATTCACTCTGTTGTCCTTTTAGCTAATTTGGCAGTATGCTTAGGGTCTTGGTCTGTTTGGAAGACCCATTTGTGGCCAAGTTTTAATTCCCTGGCTGTGTTTTGAGATGTTGCTTCAGTATTTCTCCTGGATGTTCTTTCTTCATGATGCCATCTATGCTGTGAAGTGGACCACAACAGCCCCACAACATGATGCTGCCACCCCCATACTTCACAGTTGGGATGGTGTTTCTAGACTTGTCAGCTTTCTCCTTTGTCCTCCAAATATAACACTGGTCATTATGGCCAAGCAGTTCAATCTTAGTTCCATCAGACCACAGGACATGTCTCTTTCTAGGACTAGTCTTTTTCCCAGTGTAATTTAGCGAATTGCAATCTGGCTTTTTTGTTGATTCTGGCTTGTTGATTTTCCCATGTTGTCACAAAAACAAGCAGTGTTTGAGGTTTTCCTTAATTACTATTCTACAGTTGTGCCTCCGATTAACTCGAATATAGTCAATTAGCCAATCAGAAACTTACAAAACCTTGACGCCATCATCTGAGCCTTTTCAGAGGCATAATAATCTGATTGTATGTAAACTTGACTTTCAAGAAAAGTTATAACAATTTTTCAAAAAATATCTCTCTCATTATCCTGCTATTAAGCAAAACAGAAACAAATTTGATAATCCTAATTTACCTAAAAGAGAAAAAGTTTAGTAACATTAACATCTGACTTAAAAAAAAAAAGGTTATGTGCCTTTTCATACAGTGTATGTATTTGCAGTTGGTAAGAAAACATAACATTGAAATATAAAAGATCTGTCATCCTTGACTCACTCTCCTCTTATTTCTAATATGTTTGAGTTTCTTCAGGCAAAAAAGATATTTAAATAAGGCTGGAAACATATTTCAGTTAGTATATTTTGCATTTAAATGTTTGGGTATTCTTTACAAACATTTCCTGTAGCCCTAAACCAAAACACATCGTGATGCATTGTGAAACAGAAAAGTCCTCCATTTTAAAACAGCAGCGCATTGTATCCTAGTTCAGTGTGGCAATAACCTAGCAGTACATTTTTTTAAAAAACATTGTTTAGAATATGTACAAGGTTAGTAAGAAGATATATCAAATTAACAATAAACACGACAAATGGTGAAAATAGGGGACTTGCAACGCAGACAGCAGGTACCCAGAAAAGCTGGGCAATATACAATTGAATTCTTCCAGGCCAAAACCTAGACAAGTGTATGAAAGGAATACGTTGGTGTTGATTAATATCAGCTGTCAATCAATATTGTCACTTACTGAACAAGCTTTTCAAAATGCGAGAGAATCAAGACTGAACTCATTTTTTCTGCTATTGGACTGCCAATTTTTGTTTATGAGGTGAAAATGTGACAAGGCAAAAGAACTACCTGAGGATGACAAGTGAGATGAGCTAACTTAAAATGCATAGCCTGGAGACCCAGTTAAAATGCATAGATGCAATATTGTTTTGTCTTGTTTCAGGTTCTACTGTTTGCATGTGTTTGTGAAGTATTTGGGAATCAATATGTGAAGTTTATTTATAAACTTACTTCAAGAGATTCACATGCTTATGATTGATCACGGCTGATCCCGAATTAGCTATCACATGATTTAGCAATCAGATTAATCCAATCACACTATAAATAACCAAAGTTTCTTACCTTAGATATCTTCGTCTTGAAGAATCGCCCCATCCACTTCATCTTTCTTAGATTATCCAGGATATGGCAGCACGGTGGCTCATTGGTTAACACTGTTGCCTCACAGCAAGAAGGTCACTGATTTGCGTACCGGCTGGGCCAGTTGGCGTTTCTGTGCAGAGTTTACAGGTTCTCCCTGTTCTTGGGTTTCCCCCGTTTTCCTCCCACAGTTCAAAGACATGGTTTAAGTGAATTGATTAAACCAAGTTAGCACACTAGAGCATAAGACACTAGGCTTCTAAATAGGCTTCAGTCAGTGGTTTATCACGCCATAGCAAATTCCAATAATCTATAATAGGCCCAGAACTAACCCAGGGGAGCTCTCGAGACCTACCTGAGCCTAAACCCACCCTTTCGCCCTAAAAACCGGGAGGGAGCCCCAGGCTCGAGGATCTTCTGAGCTCAGGGCTCTCTCCTGGGACAGCGTGCCAAACATGCTTTGTTATCAATAATCACTTAATTGTGAACTCTTGAAGTAACATTTTAATTCAATTCAAATGATCTGAACTTCTCATCACTATAATTGTAGGCTATAGCATCCATCTTTTTTGTTTGTTTGCAATCATTTTGTTATTCTTGCACACTGAATATATATCCCTCATATGCATACTGCAGATCTTTATGTCTGCTTCTGTCTGAAATCAGTTTGTCATTTTTCCAGAAATGATTCAATATTTCATTGGGGAGTGCACAAATTGAAAGCTAAAAGCTTGTCAGACTTAGAGAAGTGGAGCGGGGCTTTTGAAAGATCAATATTTTCTTTTTTTGTGAAGGGCACATATATAGGACATAAACGATTTAGACATCATAACCTAAATATGCTTTACACTGCAGTAAATGAAGTTTCCCTTTTTTTGTCATAACATTGCAGCTCTACCATGTAACCTTTCTACCATATGTCTGTTTTTAAAATATATATATATTTTTTTTACATTAAGTGTTAATATTATTGATTGATTTTTTTTAATAGACATAAAAGGCATAATATAATTAGAGTAATGAGGATAGTTATTAAATAATTCTTAAATAATACCGTGTAATAATGTACAGGTTAAAATGTTTACCCTTAATGGAAAGACTTTATTAAAGTTTCAATAAGTACGACCATGTTTTTTATGCACCGATTTAAAAGGCACTTATTTTACCCCTTTTTCAAGATTTAAGATGCATCTTCTGTGTCTCCAGAATGTGTCTGTAAAGCGGCAGCTCAAAACACCCATCAGATTATTTATTAGACCTTTCAGAATGTTGGAATGTTCTGCTCTGAACACATTGCAGCTTTTTTTACTGCCTGTGCCTTTAATGCTAGTTCTCCCACCCACCGTTCCCACATGCCACATTTTTCCACTTCGGCTGCGTCAGATAAACAGTACAGTGACAGACATAAAGAAAGCAGATCTCACATAACGTTTGTGAGAAATACTACAGTAAAACTATCCTATTGATTATTTGATGTATTTGTTGTGAAGTTATTGAGTTAATGAGAATGATGAGTCACACACAAGGCCACAAAGTTCACACACACACATACACACACACACACGCGTTTAACTTTGCCCTGTTTTTGCACGCAAATGTGACAGGATATACATGAATATCCACTGCTCTATGGATATCCGTTATGTTAATGTACAAAATAAACCTGATTTGATGTCCACAAATCAGCATTGAGGCATCTTCTTTTATAATTGTATTGACACGCGGCTGTGGTGATAAGCAAAGCTCAAGTAAATTGCAGTAATTCATTAACATGCTCTGTTTTAAAGAGGTTTTAAGCTTGTAAAACTCATTCTTGATCGCATTTGATAATGATTGATGATCTCAGAGAGCTGAACAGATCTTTCAATCCCAGTTGCTTTGTGCATGTCCTGTCTTGTTTATAAGCGTTACCATAGAGACATGTTAATATGCGGCTGTCAATCAATTCGGTGGGCGGGGAAACTGCACTCCTACGTCACGTTGCGGTGGGCCTCAAATTGGGAGGGATTTGGATCCTATTTTAACGTCAGGAGATTTAAAAAAAGAGACTTACTGTGTTTACATTCACTCCAATATGACTGTGGACACACCATACCTACAAACAGTTCTGTCCAAACAGTTTATAAAAGATGATTTTCATCATAGGTGCCCTTTAACCATGGACGGAGAAACAAGCAAGCACAACAAAACATACATGATATGTTTCTTTATTTCATAAACAGAAATGGTGTCTAGACAAAATCTGTCATTTATATAACACTAGCAATTGAAATGCATGAAAATGAGTCCTGCACAATACCGTATGTACAATGGTTTTTAAGTCATTAAATTCATTAGGGTCATGTAGCATTTCAAAATGAAAAAAAGTAAAAATTCTTAGTACAGAATAAGCAAAAAAAAAAAAAAAAAAACAGCTACCTCAAATCGACAATATTAACACAAAACGCTCTTCTAGAAAAAAATGCGATAAAGAGTCAGAAAGGGAGATAGAGAGAGAGAGAGAGAAAAACAACTCGTGTGACTACAAGCCAAAGAGCTATTCCATTAAAAATGATGCACCAAAATCTACCAATACAATAATCCATATAATCTGTGTAAAAAGCATGTAGAAAAAACACCTGATGCAGTTTGCTGATACAGTCATTGACCAGTAATGAGAGGTATGAAGGATTTCACAGGTAGATAAGTGTGAGAGAGAGAGAGAGAGTCCGCTCTGCTAGCCGAAACATGGGGGCTCACAGCCCCTGCATACACACTTCACTTGAATGTGAACTATGGCCTCTGGAAGTTCTAAGGCAAAGTTGGAGGTGCACTTTGTAATCATGGTACACTGGAGCATCCCCATCGGGCGAAAAAAGACAACTTGAGGAAAAAGGAGCATAGTTATCAAACGGCCATTTTTCTGTTCGCTTGTAAAAACGTACAAAACAAAGAGACAGAATGCGAAATTCAAACAAGCCTCACGATTTCTATGTACATGGCAAAATCCTCGTAAAACACGACACTTTTTTTTTTTGTAAACATTTTGCCTTTTTCTTGCGCCGTTTTCATTCCGAATACCAAATGTGTTTATAAAGTTAAGCAAATTGTGAAAAAGGCAAGTTTTTGAGCAACCCTTTGGAACGCCAGTGTTCATATTTCAGAGAAGCAGCACGAACAAAACAAACCGAGCGACACCAAACGAGAGCTTACGTAGATGAAGAGATGTAGGGTGTTTTCTAGTACAGTATTTACTCGAGCTTAAAATACGCATCCTTTGTGGATGGAAAGCTTAAAAGATTAGCTGTGGCAGCCAATTTACAACCAAGAAATTTGATTTGAGATATTAAATAGCCCTTGTTGGGTTTTCATCTAAAATAACTGTGCAAATCTAGTCCGATTTCTCTATGCACCAATTCATTTTTAGCTTAGAAACTATAACAAAAAGAAACCATGCTACCCACCCATTAGCTTTATAAGAAGACACACAAAAAATGCAAGACAAACATATGCCAAGAACAAAGCTGAGCTCACCAGCTACCACCAACCAAATAATAACAAGAAAAACAAATGTTGGCACGCACCCTGAGACAAGATACAAGAGCAACCACAAATCCGATACGAAAATAAAACCTCTGTAAAACAACAAAAACTAGCAGAAGTGTTGTTGAGAGGAGAGCTGATAAGCTTATTTAACCTGTGAGGCTTTCAGTGACCAGGACGAGCCCTTGAAGTCACGGTGGAGGCAAACATGATGCAGCTTTTAATAACAGAGGCTAACAGAGGTCAGAATTCCAATCCGTGTCACCAGACTCCCGAGCTCTGCATCCAAACGTCGGCCTGAACCAAAGCATCCCCAGGCTCTTAAGGCCTAGTGTGCAAGCGTGAGGAGTCAGCCGTATCACACACGGCCCAGAAAAAAAACACACAGCAAATACATTGCTATGTGAGGAACAGAAAAGCAAATGTTTTTGGATCGCCTTGATGCAGGTGTGACCTTTTGTTTTTGTATCCAGAAATTGTGGACATAGATCCTCAAGTGTACGACAGTGTGCTTTGTCAAGTGGAAGGTCATGCATTCCACGCTTCGTTATTCATCATTTCTACAACAACAAATAAGAAATAAAATGCATCATTATAGGGATGATTTGCATATGTGTGCACAAATGTCCACTTGGACCCATAAATCTTTAGTTCTAGTCTTGTACCTGATTACAATTTAGAAATAGCAAACACTGTTTCAATTTCTTTAGAAAAAGAGAAAGAGAGAAAGAGAAAAAGATCCACAATGAAAAACAACAGCACAACTATCCATCACAACACCTCTAGATTCTACATCCCTAGGAGAGACCCAGTGTGACGTGTTCATGTGTATGTGTGTGTGTATGTGTTTATGTGTGTGTGCTTGCATACGAAGGGGGCTGGGGGGATGTATAACAACTCGCAAATACACAAGCACGCACATGTAGAGCTCTAGGGGTCATTGAAATAATATAGAACTATGTCAAACGATTAACACTCCCAACCTATTGGCTTTTAAAGAAAAATGCTTTTAGTTTTTGCTCAACTAAACCAGAGTCAACCGTTTTTAATTTTGGCCTACCGTTTTAAGGCAAAGAAACTCTAAACAAACTATATAAAATATACAGTCAGCATGCAATCTCATTAGTATGGATATATGTGTCTAACAAATGTACAATAAAGAGAATAAGAGGACAACTTTAAGAAATGGGCTTACTCCATTTAATTCAGATCTGATTTTTCAAGCTCTCTAGGGGTGCCTTCACACTTGGCAGGTTTGGTTCTTTTAAAATGAATGGTGCACACCAAACAAGTGGACTGAGGATCCTACAAAAATAGGTCTTGGTCCACTTGCAAATAAAGGCTTGGTTGAATGCAAATTGGCATGGGACAATAACCGTTTTCAAGGTTAACCACCGTTTAGAAAAGTCTAGGTTTTAAAAACGTCAAAACTTTCTGCAATACCGTTGCTGATGATTTGTTTTTTTTGGACAACAGTATTTCCAGCAGAAAAGATATCCAAAGATGCCATTTCAAATAGTAAAAAAATCTGTGTTTTAAAACAAATAAAGACAGCAGAAGTCAATGACTTATTTAAATGATTTAGCCTGACATGTTTACTGTTCCAAAATATTATAAATGTTTCTCAAAATAAAAAATATTGTGTTCAAAGGGGGGAAAAGTAGTTGTTTTTACTCAGACATTAAAAAAAGAATATATTTTAGAGCAGTGATCACAATACCGTGATTACGTGAAACCGTAATATTTTTATCCAAGATTATCACACTGACAGAATCTTATACCGGCCCATGCCTAAATGCAACACAGATTGTAAGTGAACCAGGACCATGTGTCTCAATTATTTGGCCTGGACCAAAATAACCAACCTACAAGTGTGAACAACACACTTTAAAAGCAGCTTTTTAGTGTCTTCCATAAATATTTAATTTGAACACTTCTTTTTTTAATTTAAATGAACTTGAAAACGTTCTTTATAAGATATTGTGTCTTTAAAGATCATCAGCCAAGAGAGACACTTTAAGTGTTCACATTAAGTGCTTCAATTTCAGACTTTTTAGGGTTCTGAAAAAGAAATCCCTTTCAGAAGTGCTGAACAATCAAAGAGTGCTGAGGGAGGGGAAAACTAAATTGAGTTCAACATCATTTCCGTTCTGTAAAATGGGCTAAAACTGAAAGGTGTGTTAAAGATAACACTGTTCGCAGGTGTCCGTGAGCACATTGTAAATACTGATAAGAGCACGTTTTCACATTTATAGAAGAACAGCTCACCACTACGCACACCGTTTACATCCAAATCACATGCAAGGGGGTCTATGCGCTGCACCAGGGGGGTCGTATGCGAGCGTGTGTGTGCATGCGTGAGTGTAAGAATGCTAGTTTCCTGAGTTTAAGCACATCCATCGTCATGGGGAATTCATTCGAGACAGGAAACAGCAACGATTTTCCCTTCGTGACAAAAAGGTGCTTGATAAAACCCCAGAGAACAGAAAGAAAACGAAAAACAAAAAGCGCGAAGGTTACTACCTGTACAATATTATCTAGCCCATCTCCATGCACCGTACTATTTACAATACGCTTTCTGTCGAGCAAGCACTTCTCGAAAACATCCAATGGTATAGTATTGCTGACGCAAAAAGGTGGCCAAAACTACGATGCGAGTCTTCTCCGTCGTACTTTATTTCGTATCAGTGCTGTGGAAGGCAAAGGAGGAATGTTTTTAGATACCACCGTCTGTACAAATTACGGTACGCAGACACTACAAACGCATGATGCAGAAGACATTTTTGCATATGGACATTTACAGTCTAGCTGCTGTAGAAAAAAAAATCTGTATTATTTTTTTTCATGAGTTATACTGAACATTCAGAATATTTCCTGAGTTTGAATTTACTGTGACAAGGGCCACAAAGAGAAAGAGAAGATAGAGAGAGGGGGAGATTTAGAGGTAGAGGGCAGGAGGAGTGAATGAAGGTGGAGAGGGAAGAAAGAGACAAAAAGAGAGCAAAAAGCTGCTGCTAGGTCCGTAGAGGTCTGAATTTGAGATGTGGTCAGCGCCCATCCCAACTGAATGGACTGTAATTGGAAACAGACAGTGTCTCCACTGTCCTGGAAAGGTGTAGCACCATTGTGAAGTTCTGTGAGAAGGTCTCAGCCACTCTGCCATGGCTGAACTAGACAGAACCTGGAGAACAGTATTGCTGCTGTTAAGACAACTGTAGTGTCAACCTTTGTTTAAAAAAAGACAATAAAAAGACATAAATATATATATATATATATATATGTAAAAAAAAATCAAAAACACTGGCAGAGGCTGGCCATCTCAACAGCCCTCGACTTGTGAGGGTTTGTCAGAAGACATAACTAAATTAAATAATAATAAAAAACAAATCAACACAGAGAAACCACCGTCATTAGGTACAGTCCTTTCTGTTGGGCTGTTCGTCAGTTGTACATTTATCTGTCATCTCTTGACAGAAGTCTACTGTCACCGTTTGATTGGACTGTTCCAGGGAAAGCCCCACCTCCATAAAGGCAGAGCCGGCCTCTTGCTCCTCCCTGTGGTTGGCTGCGTCTTCAGCCCCGTTGCCAGTTTTCCACTGGGGCTTTCGGGTTGTCCCGTCTTTTGTGGAGGATGATTTGTGGAAGCTCTGTTCTGGGGTGGAGGAGGCGGTGAGGTCGATGCTGCCGGGGGCGACGGAGGCGGTGTTGCCGGGGCGCAGTATAGGGCAGTAGTGATGTACCTGTTCAGGGCTCAGCTGCACATCTCGACACACCTCTTCCGACAGACAGGAGAAATTCTCCCATAACTCTCCCATGCACGCCTTTAACTGGTTGCGCTCTGTTAACAGCTTCTCCTTTTCACACACCTGTAGGGTGGACACACACAAAACACACATATCACAGCCAGATCATAGTCATTGTGATTTTTGCTGGAACTTTCCAAGTGTTTAGACTGAAAGAATTTTTAATACCCATTTTGCATAGACTACTGTAAAGTACGGTAAACAACCGTAATATTTTTGAATTGTTAGATTTAGTGAATTAATTGCAGGACTTATATTGAATAGAATGTAATCATATTGTCCAATCATATTCAGTTTGGAGCCAGTAAGATCACAAATAATTATAAATTAGATTTTTATTTAATCGCCACTGGCTTGCTTGGTTTTGGACATGTGGAGCTGCGCATTGATGGAATTGCTCTTCAGTGTTTGGACTTTCAGCAGTGAAAATTAAACCACACTGAACTGAATGAAACTGAACTTCAACTCTGAAAACTGGATTAACACAGTTTCAATTTACTATAATCTTCTATGTTAAGCTGCTTTGACACAGTCTACATTGTAAATGCGCTATACAAATAAAGATGAATGAATTGATATTTTAATAAATTAAATGTAATATAAATAGTTGTTTCAGCAATGATGCATAAAATAGATCAAAAGTAAAGTGTATTATGACCAGTATTGGGGTAAGTTACTTTTGAAAGTAGTGCATTGCAATATTGAGTTACTCCCCTGGAAAAGTAACTAATTGCATGAATTTTTATGAAAAGCAATGCATTATATGTCTTTTGAGTAACCTTTGCGTTACTTTTCCTTACCTGGCTGAGGTTTGACCTCTTTCAGACCTTGCAGGTGTTTTTCACCTTTTTTATCAAGAAGCTCTGCATTTAACACCTGTAGAACCTACACCTTCATTTACCTTTAAAAAATGTAGGATTAACATATATTTTGAGAACTTTCTGAATCCAGAGCTACACACACGCTATATATACAGATTAATGAAAGCATGTAAAGTAATGTGTTTGCAACTTTTGTACATTTTGTTTTGTTAGTTAGGTAAATCTCGCTGTCCATTGAGATAAAGATTGTGATAAAGCCTAAGATTACTAACATGAAATCATTTATATTAAGGCAACAACAGATTTTAAAACGATTAAAATGTTTAAAAACAAAATGAAATAAAAGAAAAAACAGTAAGACAATAAAAAAATGCCTTAATCAAAATAAATATTTGAGCTATATACATTGAATACAGTGTTTCCTCTAGGATTTTGTCCAGCTGTGGTGGCAGGCCTTTTTTACACAGATCAACCAACTACCTGTGGCGTTATTTCAATGACAAATGTTGTGAGCACAGTATTACTAATTATTATTAAGTCGAGATCGCATTTATGTAATAACCCATGAGCATGCGAATCTCTTTGCTTGCGCGCGGATTTCCTCTGCTCGTGCACAAAACTTCTTGCACGCCCCATCAAATATACGCTGTTTAAGTGCAGATCTTCTTGTGCACTCTCAAATAAACGCTGCTGAAGTGCGATTTAGTGCGTTTATGCAACAAGTATGTCTCAATCCTTTATTAGATTTGCTGGGAACAATTATGTATGTCTTTTTTTAGTTTAGAATTAGTTGTTTTACCTGGAGAACATGAGCTGATGTAAATCATAGCTGAAGATGGGGTGCGGGTTTAGTGCTTCACATCCAGTTTTTTTATTTTTATTTGATGTCCATGTTTCAGGCAGTTGTCAAGAGTTTTACATAATCTACACTTAACGACAATCCACTTCTTTTCTCCAATGAGTTAAAAAAACAAGAATCTATTGCAAAAATGTAAGGCTCCAACCTGCCATTGTTTCTGTTTCTGACTGTCTGTAGTGATGACGAGCAATTCACAAATGAATTGCTTGTTTTAACCAGGTCTTCTAGGTGAACCGGTTTGCATCTTCAGTAAGTACTAACATACCCGATACCCCCTCTGACTCGAAATAAACCCATATCATTAGCTATTCAGTTACTAGAACAGTACACAGATTGAAAAAAGAGACCTGACGACTGTCTGTTCCCTCGCAGCATGCTCTCTCATTGAGTGTGTGATTCAACCTGACTAAGATCATTTTTATTCCACAATATACTTTGTTGAAGCCAATTAAGCAAGGTAAAAAGTAACTTGCATAAATTTTTTTTTAAAGTAACTCAAATAATATAACTTATTTTAAAATGCATTACTTTACTTGTTACTTTGAAAAAGTAGTATTATGTAACGTGCAATACTTATAAAAGCGTTACCCCCAACACTGATTATGATTACTTTTAGAACTAATAAGCGTCAGCTTTGCCATAACAGACTATTCCCTGAAAACCCTGTTCACCAAAATACACATTTCTTAATTCCCCATAATAATCATATTATGTTGATTTTATCATAATTAAGCCATTGTCCATGAGGGAATTGTTGGCTGATGGCCATAATGAGGCAATTTCATGTTTTACTATGCCAGTGAGACAGTTTTTTTCCACACAACATAGTCAAAACCTGCTCCACGCTCATACATAAACACTTTGTTATGAGCATCCAGTGATGTATAGATCCCGGCTGAGTTACAGTAAGTAGGTCACCCTGCAGCACTAACACTGCCTTCTCTCTCAATCTCCACAGAGATCGACATACTTCACACATCTCCCGTCTTCATACATACATTCATGCTACAGCTTCTTTTCAGTTGTGCTTTAATACAGCTGTCAAACTCTGAAGATAAGAGGACGGCCGAGTAGAAGCAGAGGCATCTCCTGCTGCTTTCTGGGACATTATATAGAGGATGTGCATGTGGCATCAAAGTGCCAACTGTCATATGTAGACACATCAAAGACAGTGGGCTCCGCCTCCATCAGCCAAACAGCATGGCACAGGCTCTGTGATTGACAGGTAACGGTTCGCCATGACCGCATAGGAGACCAGACCTCCTGCTGCCTCTGCTTTTTTTTGAAGGCCGATGTTTTGTCACACTCAGTGTGACAGAGACATTTGTGTACTCACCAGTTTGCGTATTTCACACTCAAGGTTCAGGATGCAGTCAAGTTTTCTCTTGCGGCAGCGCTGTGCCGCGATGCGATTTTTACTACGTCTGCGCACGTCGTGGATGAACTCCAGCTGCTCTGAGGTCAGCTTGTGCATTTTCACCATCATTTGGAAGTCGTTGCGTGGAAGATTTGTGATTTGATCAACAGGGAACGGGAGCTTGACCTGTAAAGACAAACATGGGCATATGATTAAAACCTATAACAATGACGATAAAGTTAAAAAAAAAAGGCACATTTATGTCAGGAATAGTTGATAACGATTGATTGAGTTAACAGAAAATAATGGATACCTGAGAAGCTAAGGTGGTCCCTACACACTACACATTCTCAGATTGGAGTACAAGCTAGAACAAGGAGAGATTATGTAGATTGTCTATTACAGGGGTGGCCAACCCTGTTCCTAGAGAACCACCTTGCTGCAGATTTCAGTTGCAACCCATATCAAACACACCTGCCTGAAATTATCACATGGTGTTCAGGTCCTAATTAATTGGTTCAGGTGTGTTTAATATGGGTAGCAACTGAAATCTGCAGGAAGGTGGCTCTCCAAGAACAGGGTTGGCCACCCCTGGTCATTTAAATATTCTCAGGAATTATTTGTCATTGATCCTTTCACCACCAAAAAACAGTGAATGCAAATGTGCTGGAAAGCTGTTTGAAAAGTGTCTTTATGATGGTAACAGATGTTTTGAAAGTGATTCCAGTGATATTGTTAGCCTGAGCGATTATCATCAAAATTATTATTTTTTTAATGAAGAAGTAAAGTTTCATAAACTCATTTCAAAAGGATCACGTGCAATGATTAATCACAGCTGGTCCTGTATCAACAATCATTGAGTACGTTCATATGGACACCAATAATCCAATTTTTAAGAGTTCACACTTAGCTGATGATTGATAATTAAAGCTTGTTCGTCATGCTGTCTCGAAAGAGAGCCCTCAGCTCATAAGATCCTCGAGCCTGGGGCTCCCTCCTATTTGCAAGGCAAAAGGGGAGTTTGAGCTCAGGTAGATCTCTAGAACTCCTCTACTGTAGTAGTAGTAATAAACAGAGAGTGATTGCTCTTAAAAGATAACTACTTACAAGGTGCATGTCTATGGTGCTGATTTGGATAAGTCAATTAATTTGAGTTGTGTGTTTTTGGATAGTGGGAAGAAACCATTTGAGCATGGGGAGAACGTATAAACTCCACACAGAAACGTCAGCTGGCTTGGTAAGGGCTAGAACCCGTGATGTTTTTGCTGTGAGGCAACAGTGCTAATCTCTGGGCCACCTTGCCACCAATCTATGAAAGGAGGAGGAGTAGGGCTGAAAGGGGGGATTCTTCAAAGCGAAGATGGCTGTTATATGGAACTTAAGGTATTTAGAGTGGCTTAGGAATAATCTGATTGGTGAATCATAAATTAGATAATGTGAGACCGGCCGCAAGCAGTCATAAGCATGTGATACTCTCGATATTGTTTTATAAATAAACTTCACATAATATGATTAAGACAATACTATGATTAAGAATCTACTATGTAAACAGAGATTTTTGATTATTTAATCCAATGAAGGTCATAATTTAACTAAACAGAAATCAAATTAAGACGTTTAGTATGTTGATTTTAATCACATTGTTGAAGTGGAGAACAAACATGTAAACACCACAATCAAACTACTACCGTCGTGTAGGATTTTAGCTGCATTTTGCTACAGCATAGTTTAAACACACAAGAGTGACACTATTCTCTGCACCTACCTACTATGCCAGCGGTTTTCAAACTGTGGGTCGCGACCCACTAGTGGGACGCACAGTGAACAAAGGTGGGTCGCGCAACGTCTTATAGCTGCAGCTATAATTACATTGCGGTGAATCAAAACCAATACGATTGACGCCAATAACTCAAAAACCTCTTACCCTAAAAATATGTGTTTCCCACAAAAAGATAAAGCTGGTTATGTTTCACAGCTGTCTTTTTCTTTTTTTTTTCGCTCGACATTACGAGCACTGCTGAGTTTGAGCGCTCGCACTCTGCGTTTAGCCGATAGAGCTTGCGCTGAGTGGAGCTCTCAGTAAGTGCTTTTTTTTTTTTTTTTTGCTCCGTCCTGCGTGTTTTATTTTAAACACTACTAATTTTCTCTTAAATGAGCACAAACAGTTACTAAAGTAGTCGAATGCTTCATTATAGATCTGTGCATTCCTACATTAACTCATCTGTAATCAAACGAAACACAATGAGAGATTCATTTGCTGCTCTTCACTAAATAACTATAGTAACTTTAATCAGTATGCAAATACAATAAAAGTGAAGTAGATTTTATAGCTTTATTTAATTTCTGTATAGGCCATTGATTTTACTAGGCTAAAATTTTTATTTTATTGTCAATATTTTCTAATGTTTGCTATGTATTCTATCATTTGAAGCTATTTGTTGTCCCATATTTTTTACATCCCAACGTTGACAGATTGCTAATCAATAAATAGCTATAGTGCTATCTGTTAGTTTTAACGTCACCTAATGTTATGGAAGGGCATAGATGTTATTTAAAATAGTAATAGTAATGTAACTACCCCCATCATTCCTTCCTCAAGCAAATGTGTAAATATTAGATCAATTCAGCTATAACGTTAATTGCAGCGGCATATTTATCTGACCTTTTCCCAGCTTGTAGTATTCGATCAAAAAGCTATTTAGTTTCTTATGACTATACACTAGCAGTGGAATTTACTGCAATGTGACTGTGAATTTACTGCAATGGGCTTGATCATAATCCAGGGGCTCGATCATATTCTCTTCTAAAAAAAGAAGAGTATCTTTTTCAACAAAAAAATTATCAGTTAGCCAGCAGCCCACAAAAAGCACTTCGAGCCTAATTTTGTGCATATCAAATCGCAAAATCCAAAAAGCCGCACACCATATATTTTTGACTGCTTTGAATGGAGACTTTTTTTTTTTTTTTTTAACCATTTTTCCATATTAAAATATTATGGTGGGTCTTGAGATTGAATTACTTGCCTAGATGGGTCCCGGAATAAAAAAAGTTTGGGAATCCCTGTACTATACTATATGATCAGGCAGGAGCCTTGAGCTCAAGTATCTCCAAGCTCAGGGTTCTCTCCCGGGACAGCATGCCCAATGCCACAATCACTATGAAGCAATAAATAAATGTGAACTTCTGAATCATTTTTAAAACAATATAGTTATTGATTCCATCATCACACCTCAACTATAAAGATGATGACATAAGTGGAGTTGTCTAATGAACAATAAAAACTTTTCTGACAGCCAAAAAGAATACGTTTGGAAAAAAGGTATGCATGTAACCCTCGTTTTATGTGCATTATTTGAGTACAACTGTTATGTTGTCAAATAGTCTGAACTAATGTAGTAAATCACCAATTGTAACATTGTGAAAATCACATAAATATCAGATAAGAACACTACAACATTAACGCCAATAGTTCATAATAGATGTATCCTCTCTCTTTCATTACTATTATTATTATTATTATTATTATTATGTAATAATACATGACAACATATGTTTTAATGTTCATTTAAGGCAGAGGTGTCCAAATTTGGTCCTGGAGGGCCGGTGTCCTAGATATTTTAGTTCCAACCCCAATTAAACACACCTTAACCAGCTAATCAAGCTCTTTCTAGGTATACTAGAAACTTCCAGGCAGTTGTGTTGAAGGAAGTTTGAGCTAAACTATGCAGGACACCGGCCCTCCAGGATTGAGTTTGGACACCCCAGATTTAAGCTCTTAAAACCAACAGACAATGATATTATATACCAGTCAAAAGTTTGGGGTTAGTAGGATTTTAAAATAAGATTATCTTCTCACCAAGGCTACATTTATTTGATCATAAAATAAAAATTGTAAAATTGTGAAATGTTATTGCACCATAAAGTAACTGTTCAAAAGTAGTTTATTATTTAATAATTTATTCCAGTGATCTTAAAGATGAATTTTCAGCTTCATTTCTCCAGTCTTTAGAGTCACATGATCCTTCAGAAATCACTCTAATGATAATAATTATAATTAATATTATTAATGGTGATAGTAATAAAAGCAATAATGACTGGAGTAATAATTTCATTTGAAACTACAAACAATACGAAAGCAGTTATTTGACATTTGAATGCCGCCTTTAAAAAGAATAAGAAAATCTGACCTCAAACTTTTGACCAGTAAAATATATATATATATATATATATATATATATATATATATATATATATATATATATATATATATATATATATATATATATATATATATATATATATAAAATGGTGATTTATGATAAGATTTTGAGAGACAAATCTTTACTGTTGCCCCTTTCTTTCTGCTGGAGGAAGGTTTTATCCTAATCTTACTATCTTACAAGATTACAACTAAACAGGGTCATTGCCCAGCAGTTAAATTAATTAGAAAATTAGAAACACACCTTTATTACATGATTAGGGTATTAACATAACTGGCCTGAATACATGTGCACATTTCAATTTAATAATAAAGTCTGTTTCTTTAACTTTATGCTGTTACTATCAAAGCTATATGAAGCAAACTGTAACCACAACAATACCGTATGCATTGCCATTGTTTTGTGGTGTTTACGTCATTGGAGCTCACGATAAAAGAATCCAACTCGATTTGCTGCTTTTTATGCCAAACATGAACATGTTTCTATTGACCTTCACTGAGGAGTATTTTCTGATGAAATAAAAATACACCAAACGTAATATAGGCTGCAAAGCATTTTATCACCACTAGATGGAAGCAGAACACCGCTCTTCACACGTACAAAGAGCATTTCTGATGAGCTCTAAAAACACGAGCTTACCTACATCACTTACAACCATCAGGTCAAAAGAGCAAGATAGACAGACAAGAACAAAGACTGAACAAGAACAAGAAAGCAGCATCCTTCTGTTACACTCAAAGAAATAAGATAAAAAAAGCCAATGGCGGTGTATTAGCACAGCTGCTTCAGCCGTTTCTTCCTCTATTTCATATTCCTGTCAGGTGTTTACCACAGGGCATGAGTATGCAAATTACAACTGCTAACGAGCTAAGCTGTCATTTCATTCAGAGCATATCAGTGCTTACACACACACACACACACACACACACACACACACACACACACACACACACACACACACACACA